GAGACAGGAACATTCATCAAAGCTTATTGGCCACTTCCTAATATTTGGCACTCTTTCCACTCTTTTGCCACTTGCCACTGAAGCACACATTCTTCGGGCTCCCCGGCTCCCACGTGAGGCTGTCCTACACTTCCCCACCGTCTCTGGCACAGGCCCACAGGCCGCATCACCCCGCACAGCGAACCCTCCAGGCGGGAGCTCTGAAACTGCCAAGCTGTCCTGCAGCCCCGCAGCTGTCACCGACGTCTGGCACACACTGGGGACACTGAGCCCCAGAACTAAGGACCTTTCCCAGGAGCTCACGCCAAAGGCAGAAGCCTATATTCCCTCAGTTGCTCTTAAAAACTGCGTGTGAGCTGGGCGGGGTGGCTCCCACCTGTAATCTCAGCACTTCAGGAGGCAGAGGAGGGAGGATGGCGGGAGCCCAGGAGGTCCAGGCTGCAGTGAGCTACGGTCACACCAGTGCACCCCAGCCTGGGCGACGGAGTGAGACCGTCCCTAAAGAAAGACATTTCTAAACAGAACCCCACATGCACACGACAAAGCAGCGTTTGCACTGGGCAGCACTGCTCCGGGTCTGGGATCTGAGCCAGGCCCCTGCAACTGCTGCAGCTTTGCACTGTCAGCTGGGACGGGGGTCCGGACATGCGGACAGACCCGCCCCTGAGATCTACCTGGGCCGCACAGCAGTGAGAGAGGTCTCACCTGGGGTGGAGATGTCGGCCCCGACCATGGGACCAGCAGGGGAAGGAGAGTCTCTGGGACAGGAGGTGGCTTTGCTGGCATTGCCCCTCCCTCCCTGGCCCCCTGGAAACCACAGATTGCTCAGGCAGCAGCCCTGGCCAGGCTGATGTGCATCAGGGCCGCTCTCTCCACAGGGCATAAGACAGGCCGGGAGGCGCCTGCCCAGTCACCGCCTTGGGTCCTTCCTGGGGACTTTGTACTGACACACTATTCATTTTGTCCCCAAGGGCCGAATTCTGTAACATTACTGAATGAGGGGTGCAGTCTCTGGGGGGGGGGCAAGCTGTGGGGAGGGACGGTGGAGACCCTGGCTCAGCACTTTGAATATTCCCCAGCTGCCAATAGCACACGGAGCAACGATGATGAGCCCAAATGCTGCGTCCATTTTGCTGTAATAGAAGTGTTGCTGCCCGTGGCCCGCCTGTACTGTGAGCACCTTGGAAAGGTGGATCCGTGGGCTCCTCATGGCCAGGGCGACTGTGACATGTTCATGTTTTGCACCATCTTCCCTCTTGGTTGTGTGACTCGCCCTCTGCATGGACTTTAATAGACCTTGTGCTCTACAGACATGTCCTGCATCTGAATTAGCGATTTTGGAAGTGCAGACGGACGTAGGGGTCCTGGGCCAGCCCTCCCTGCCCGGGACCTCATCCTCAGCAGACTCGCAGGAGCTGGACAGGGGCCGGTGACTGTGATTCCAGACCCCAACCAGGACCACAGGGGCAGGCCTGGGAGGGAGGGTCAGAGGTGACAGTGGACACTCTTTGCTTCCTGGGGTGCAACAGGCTCCTGGGGACGGAATTCAGACAAGCTGGGGGAGGGACACCAGGACAGGAGGGCCCTCCGCAGGGGACTGTGGGCACAGAGACAAAGGCATCTGCCAGAGCCTAGCCCTGCAGGGGGTGCCCTGAACACATTATTCATATGGGGTCCCTGTAGTTTGCCAGGACTGCCACCAAACCACCCAGACCTGCTGGCTCAAGGAAAACACGCTGACTGTCTCTCTGTTGGAGGCTGGAATGAAGGACACTTTCTCTCCTGCTGTTTCAGGAGGATCAACCTCCCCACGTCCACACTCCTGAGCAGATGCCCAGGCTGGTCATGCAGAAACCAAACCGGGTGTCCTGCTGCTATAACTGTGTCATCCACCAGCTGCCAGTGTTCGCTGGGTGTCCAGGGTCCACCTAAGCTCTGTGACTGTAACCAGAGCAAACTGGCACAGGGACAAGGGTTGCTGCCACGGGCTCCCAGCCAGGGGACAGGCTCAGTTCCTCAGGGGGTGGTCAGTGCAGCTGCCTTCCTAGCAGAGTCCCCCCAGGACACTGACATTATCTGCTTCCTGTTGCAACTGCAGGTCCTGGGTGTCCTGAGCCCAGCTCAGCTCTGCCAGCACCTCTGCAGCCTAAGAGCCCGTTCACCTGCCCCTCGTATCTCAGTGGACAGAGCTGCAGGGAACAGTGTGAGGGGCCCTGCTCTCTCTGTCTCCAGTGGCCTTTCCCATGATCACTGCAGTCCTTAGGACCATCCATCTGCACCTGCCCATAGACCTCAAAGATGTCCTCTGGGGTCAGTCACAGGACACAAACTGGTTGTCCAGTTGTGCAGATGCTGTGGTCATTTTCTGCAGAAATGAGCACCTCCTGCCAGCACCAGGAGGCCACAAGCATGGTCAGCTCTTAGGAGGCCACTAGGGAGCTACACGCACAGAGTGTGGACAGGGACAGTGGATTTGCTGTCGTTCTGCTGGGACACACCCTGGTGAGGTCTCTGGGAACCAGTCCGGTTCCCTGCAGCTGGCGGTCACCGATCAGGACAGCAAGCTGGGAGGGTGTGCTACCCGCTGGCCTGTGCACAAAACAGGCCCATGTGTGTGCGTGTGTGTGCATGTGTGTGTGTGTGTGTGCGTGCATGTGTGTGTGTGTGTTTGTGTGTGTGCATGTGTGTGTGTGTGTGTGTGTGTGCACTTACATGCTGCTGTTGCGAGGGGTATTGCCAGTGTCAAATGTTCCACACCCAGAGCTTTTCACTTTTCCTACCCTCCCTCCTCCTGCTGCCTCCAGCGCCCTGCGCTGTATTAAGAATAAGGGTGAGGATATGGACGGTGGTCGGAGGAGGAATGAACCTTCACAGGTGTTTAATACACGGCAGGCGCTACTCACAGCACTTCCTGTTATTAAATCCTTTGATCCCAGCCACTGCACAATCCACACATTTTCAGCGTCACCCACTTCACAGCTGGGGAGTCTCTGGCCCAGATTTCTACAGATGGGACGACACGCAGGGAGAACAACTGGCCTGTGGTCACAACCAGACAGCGGCCGACCCAGGAGCAGAACCCTGGGTCCCCTGCCATGGAGGGAGCAAGGGGAGTGTCCCCACCTCTGTCCACACACTCAGGGAGGACAGTGCACCTGATGAAAGAGGAGAGGGTGGTGACAAGAGGAACCCGGAGCCCTGGCACGGGGGGAGAGGCAGGGCAGGGATGGCTGGAGCGTCAGGCTCTGAGCTGAGTGTCCTGGATGGACTCTTGACCACACTCACTGCTGTCTCTGGACTGTGGCAAAATCATGTCACCTCCTGATGTTGGTTCTCTCATGAGTAGACTGGATGGAGATTGTGCCTTAAGCAAAGGGCTGCTGTGGGGTTATGATGAATGCCCTTTTAGGACGGTGCCTGTAAAACCCTCAGCAGTGTCTGGCATGTATCTGGTGCTCAGAGGCAGTCACTGTGCATGAACTAGTGACACAAGTAAGGTGTCTTTCCTCCTGTGGACACCAGGGGGCACTGTGGGCCTTGGCTTGGGGACCAGAGTAACTCCAGTTCCCTGGTAGAGCTCAGGTGCAAAGGGCAGGACTGCTGCTCCCTGGGATCACCTGTCTATTAGGTGAACTCCGTGCTCCACACATGAAAACCTCCTTCTCCTGCCTTGGAACCTGGAAAACTGGCAGCCTGGGGCCCTCAGGCTCAGCGCTCAGACTAGGGCTCAGAGAGACACTGGGGGATGGGCAGGGCTCTGTGTCACTGCTCAGCAGGGAGCAGCCCCTCAAGTCACCAGAGGAAGGAAGCAGATTTGCATGAAGAGCCTCCCCTCCTGTGATAAGCCAGCCCCACAGGTCCCTCCCCATCTGTGGGTCAGAGGCAGAGCTCCGGGTGTCACCATGGCCTGGACCCCTCTCCTGCTCCCCCTCCTCACTCTCTGCACAGGTGCCGCCCCAGGCTCAGCCCCCACAGCACCAGGGCTCAGCCTGGCCCTGACCTTCCGCTCAGCACAGGGGCTGCTGCTGGGTGAGGGGCCCTCTGGGAATGAGATTGTCACCCTCAGACCCCCTCTCCTGTCCTCTCTTGCAGGTTCTGTGGCCTCTCAGGTGACTCAGGTGCCTGCAGTGTCTGTGGCCTTGGGACAGACGGCCAGGATCACCTGCCAGGGAGACAGCTTAAGTAGCTACTATCCCGGCTGGTACCAGCAGAAGCCCAGCCAGGCCCCTGTGCTGGTCGTCTATGGTAACAACGAGCGACCCTCAGGGATCCCTGAGCGATTCTCTGGCTCCAAATCGGGCAACACGGCCACGCTGACCATCAGCGGGGCCCAGGTCGAGGATGAGGCTGATTATTACTGCGGCTCATATGCGGGCAGCGGCACTTTCCACATTGGTCCAAGTTCATGGGGAAGTGAGACCAAAACCTGCCCTGTGCTCACAGGCTCTCTCTCTGTTAGGAAGACGCTTCCTCTGCCCTGTCCAGAGGAGGCTTCATGCACATGACCTTGAGAATTCTCTCCTCTCACCGCCTCTCCCCTCTCCCACTGAGGTTCGCAAAGTACCCTGCTCTCTGGTGGACTTTCTGTAGCCATGGAAGCTTCTTCTTAGATAGGGTGACACGATGCTTGAACATGCAACTCTTTCAAACTTTTCCATGTCGTGAGGAGCGTGACCAGCAGACGCCTACTCAGTGCAGCTCCTGCAGTTCTCAGGGACATCCTCACAGCAAGTGTCCCCACCTCCCCACTGGCATGGCAGCCTGAACCCAGTTCTCCAGGCATGGCCTTGTCTCTTTTAACTCTGTGTCCACCACGCTCAAGGCAGAATCACCTCCTCGATGGCTGTTCCACTGCACGTCTCTCCCAAGTGGCTGTAACTCAGGATAGATCTCAAAATGTCGCCAAGGAAAGAAGACAAAGGGAAAGATTGGTTCCTTTTAGTGTGCTGTCTTTGATGCATATGCAAGGGGTCGGGTAGGGAGCCCGAGTGACAGAGTTGTGCCACATCAGCACAGACCCCCTTACCAACAAATGACCTGCTGTCCTGGAATCAGCTATGCATGGGGATGGCCCCCTCCTAAGGGTGGGCTTTTCTCTTTGGTTTGGGGGGGTTTGTGTAGCGACAGAGTCTCGCCATGTTGCCTGGGCCGCTATGGAACTCCTGGCCTCAAGCGATCCACCCTCCTTGTTCTCCCAAAGTGCTGGGATTACAGTCATGAGACACAATGCCTGGCCTGATTTTCTCAAATCTTTCTTCCTTCTACAAGAAAGGGGCGTTTGGTGGGTCTGTCCCCATTGTCAGGGTTTGCCAGAGTATCAGCTTTCTGTGTAGATCCAAACAGCTTCCTAGCTGGGATCACATGCACTGTACCACTG